GGAATATTTTGCGATATAGGAACCGGATTTCCAGCTCTGAAATCCAGACATCTACCACAGGACCAACCCCGCCCCAGAATTCTTTGAAATTGATCAAACTAGGAAATACATTTCACTGATAAAAAATGTCTGTATTAAGATAGCTAAGTGGCGAAGAAAGTTATGCTGTGATCTAGAGTGAAACTGGGATAACTTTAAATAATACTATTATTGGAAACGTTCTTATAAGAAAAACTTATAAGCAAACGGATGAGGATTAAAACTGGTGTATTGAGTTTGTTTGTTTTTGAAGTTAAGCACAAAGCTACACAATGGGATATCTGTGCTCTGCCCACCACGGGTATCGAAACCCGGATTCTAGCGTTGTAAGTCCACAGACATACCGCTGTGCCACTGGGGGACTAGTAATCGTTATTAACAAGCGTGTATAAATGATATGTTAGTTTGGTTTGGGTTTAATTTGCATTTCGCGCAAACTTACTCAAGGGCTATTTGGGCTAACCGTCCCTAATAGTAGTGATAGACTAGAGGGAAGGCAGTTAACCAGCAACACCCACCGCCAACTCTTAAGTTACTCTTTTACCAACTAATAATGGAATTGAATGTCACATTATAATGCCCCCACTTCTGAAAGGGCAAGCATCTTTGGTGAAGGGAATTCCAACCCGCAGAGTGCGAGTCGAGCGCCTTAATCACCAGGCCATGCCAGACCTCCTAATACGCTAGAAGGTTGGGAAATGCTGGAAAAACTCCAGGAACTAATATAGCATCAATATGGTGAAATATCACTTGTTTTTCACAGAAGTTGACTGCATGATAACACAGGCCTGCGATGGTTTTATAGTCTTGAAATGTTCTATAGTAACTCCTGTATGCTGAATCCGTAAATGATATCCATTTCTCTCCATCGCGTACAGATTTTTCACAAAACGTCACAAAGCAATATATATAAACGAAAGACCATAACACGTAGTTTTGAGACTAAAAGACATAGATTTCATTAAAAAAATTAGGATGAATGAGGATGCATATTCGTTTGACATCAATGTTTTTCCCCTTTTCTTCAGTTTGTTTGTATTTTTGTTAACAAACATAATATTAAGACATAATATTAAACCGTGTCAGTGTAAATTACTTGTACCTGATGATGACAAAACCTTGTCGAAACGCTGTACATGTGCTGTTATGTTAAACTTATATTAAAGTTTTTCTTCATTACCCATTCAAGCCGTCTCCAGCCATTATTAGTCTCAAAGTGGGTTCCTCGTCATCGAATATTAAAACATGTTCATTGTGGTAAACGAAATAATAATTTGATCTAAGAAAGAGTTTTTTTTTTATTCTTCCCGATTTGTAAAAAATCCTTACGTGATAGAAAAAAAAATGAATATTTTTTTACGAAATCTGCGTAGCCGAATTATGAAAAATCCGTTATTTTACAGAGTTTAAATTCTGATAACACCTACTTATTAACATTCTCATTTCCTATATGGACTTTTTTGGACACTCTGTATACGAAATACTAAAGTACAAGCACACGCGTATTTTGGATACTGAAGCGAAACAAAACAATATAATTAAATGATCGCTCGTGTCAGTTCAAAAGTGAAGATTATCGCAGTAGGGGGGGGGGCACTGAGATGTAAATATGATTCGATCCGTTTTCGGATGTTCACCGTGATAGAGAGATAAAGAGACTGATCAGATTGTCGGGAGCGAAACGAAGTCAAGTGAACGAATTAGAAGATCAAACAAAGAGCGACTAAATAACCTAACGTAAAGATAGAAAGAATGTAAGAAAATACCAGGAAGATCACTAAAAAAATGTAATACGTAAATAAGTGCTTTGTTTTCTTGTTGAATCTCGCACAAAGGTTCTCGAGGGTCATCTGTGCTAGCCGTCCCTATTATAGAAGGAAGATCACTAAAAAAATGTAATACGTAAATAAGTGTTTTGTTTTCTTGTTGAATCTCGCACAAAGGTTCTCGAGGGTCATCTGTGCTAGCCGTCCCTATTATAGAAGGAAGGCAGTTAGTCAACACCATCAACTCTTGGGTAACTCTTTACCAACGAATAGTGGGATTGGCCGGCACATTATAACGCCCCCACGACTGAAAGGGCGAGCATATTTGATGACGGGATTAGAACCCGCAATCCGCAGATTGCGAGACGAACGTCCTAACCACCAAGCCATAACAACTATGATAAACCACAATGGACGAATAAAAAAACGATATCGTGGTTAGCATTATTGCAGTCATATTTTAAGTTCTTACCACACTCATTACTGTGAGGTGGATAATGATTTGGTTGTTTTTTTGTTAAGCCTAATCAGTCACGCATCTGAAGTGAGGAAAATCTGGAAATCACCTATGGTTCCAGACTTTTCACACACCCTATATGTATATATTTCAAGCCGAAATACCCTCAATTGATAGGGAACGTTTAAACTTAATTAAACCAATGTAGGTTTAACAGCAATCATATATTTCAAAGTAATAATTGAACATAAACATTATCTCAAAATTTTAAAATTATAACAAAGCTTCTTCATAAACAGTTGCAGTTTACTTTCCATCTACCAACAAATAAAGATTTTGAGGTGATCCCTCCCTTGAACACCCTACATCTCATTGACTATGCGAAAAGCATGGTTCCTTGAGAAACAATCCAACAATTTTCATACTTTGACCTTGGATCCAATTAAAAATATTCAACATTGTCTAAAGCGTCAACCTGCCAAGATTGTTTGAGATTGACTCAATAGGCTGGGAGTAATTAACCAACAGGCTTTACAAAATATAAATAGGGTTAAGTTCAATGTTACCCCTTAGGACATTTCCCATAGTTCATAGTGTTTACATACAAATTTTGGTTTAGATTGGCCCAATAGGCTCGGAGGAGTTAGGGTGCAAAGAAACACACATTTCATCGTTATGTATATATATATATATAAGCTCTTTAGAATTCTTTGTTCTTCTGGGTGTATTCAACAAATCAGATTGGTTCATTGTTCGTTTTGGAGCAAAGCCAAATTGGGCTGACTGCTGTGTCCACTGTGGAGAATCGAGCCCCGGATTTTAGCATTGTAACTCCATAAACTTAGTCCCATTAGGGGGCAATTAAATTGTTTGGTTTTTAGTTGTTGCTCCACAATTGACTATCTGTGCTCTACCCACCACGGGTATCGAAACCCGATTTTTAGCCACTAAATTAGAGAATTTCTTAAGTTTTAATTGGATTATGATTTTTAAGACTGATAAGCAAGAAAACTATAAATATTTGCCATAAGTTTAAATATTATCATATCTTCAATTTATAGAAACTTGAAGTGAGTAAGTTGATTTTTTGAATTAAAGCTTTGTTTGCCAGTATAAGGAAGACACGAGTATATAGTAAATTTAGGTACAGTTGGTATCTTAATTGGATTTGTGAGTTTCTTTATTAGGAAGGTGTTGGTAATGTTTCTAAAGTTACTATATACTTGAAGTGAGTAAACATCCAAAATAAAAGAGCCAAATAACAAATTTATTCCCCCATGCTGGCCCAGCGGTAAGTTTGTGGGCTTATAATGTTGAAAATCTGGTTTCGATACCAGCTGTGGACAGAGCACGAATGACCCATTGTGTAGCTTTGTGTTTAACAATAAACAAACAAAACAATTTTATTAACGAAGGAAAATTAAACTCTTATTCAATTGAAATTAAAAAGTTACAAATACATATATATGTGTGTATTAAAGAATATTTGAAGTCCAGAGAAGTAACACAATAAAAATATATAAGCTTCAGTTTATTCGTTATTTTTATTTAAAGTCAGTAAATCACCCTTTAAAGACCCCATTCCATCGCTTCACAGTAGATTTCAGGTACATACTCGAAGAAGTCGCAATAATTTAGGGAGTTTTTGGATTTTTATGAAATTTTAATATTTTCTTTGCTTTATTTCGAAGGATGCGACTTCTCTTTCATATATAGTACGACATATTTGTTACATTATTCTATAACCAAACTAAGTTAACCCCCATTTCTTGGGGGATAATGACATGCGGTGTTAATAAAAATAAAATAATCAAACGTGCACCAAAACCGATTTTAAGTGTTATAAGCCTTTAGGCTTACTGCTGAGCCACTGTGAGGGCATCTGGTGTGAAAGTATTATACATAATTAATTTAAAATATATATAATAATATTATGATATCATTGTCGGTTAGTGTTATAAAATATATTACATGCTGCAATTTGTTATGCATTGAGATATATGTTTATTTGTATTAATTATTAACACTTCTTTCCTACTACAAAGAAGATATGCTTTACATAATCATTCTATTATTGTCTTTTTTTTTTGTGTTCTTGTCATATACTAGATTGATTATAGTTAATATTTATTACTTAGGCCTACGATAAATCACTTCAAACTTTTATATAGAAGAAAAGATCTATATTTTTTGGGAGGGGGTCCACTCTGTAGTTACACCCCTTTACAGAACATGTAAAGAAGAAATTTGTTTTCAATACAGATGAGAAAATGAATTCTAATCAATTTGGTGTCAGAAAAATATATTTTATCTCTAGAGGGCTCTTTATGTTTCCATGGCTTTTAATAGGCTCATTGAGTCGTAAAAAAGAACATTAGAAAGTAGTTTACTGATAGCAATAAATTGTTTAACCTGTAAGTTATGACCCATACAAAATTGTTGAATTTGTGAATTTAATATGAAAGAAAATTAGTTATTTTCTCAATATATCTATCTATATAATATTGGAATTCAGAAAACGCCTTTTTTAATTTCATGAAAGTAGGTGCTTTAGCTAAGCCTAAGTATTTGAACTTAGTCTTGGAGAAGTAGCTGTTTTAAGATTTAACTTAAACTTTAAGTTTAAGGACGACTAAGTTTTGTACTACAACTAGCTCAACCACTACTAATAGTAATAAATTATTATAAAAAAATGGTAACTGATTAATATTTAATGTTTTTAATAGGATAAGTATTTTTAGATTGTTAAACTCAAACTGCACAGTGGAATGGAATAATAGGGGGCATTAAATCTTATTCTTAATTAGTTCTACCTATATTCGTATATTTTATATTTTGAATATTGATTTTCTACAAATCCATTTTACGTTAAGTGTCATATTCCTTCTTCAGACTATTATTATTTTGAATACATAGAATTAAAGTATGATTAAATGCTCCATGTATTCCTAATGAATCTGTAAATGTAATTTTTTCAATAAAATCTTTCAAATTATCTGTACTACTTTATATTATTTTTTGAAAAAATATCTAAAATTATGTAGAATTAGAAATAGATTTACATATAATCTGATATTTCGAATTGTGCTCTTTTTTTAGAAAAGGCAAGAAAAAAATGGCAGTTAATAAGAAGAAACCATCTATGAGTAAAAATAGGTCTACCAACTGTGTTAGTTTAAATTTTATCAGAAAACATGATTCAGCAACCTCTTCGGGAATGGAATTGAATAAAGATTTCATAGAGCCATTAGAAAGGGAGCTTACACAGTTAAAACTTTTAGAGAAACCTTTTGAATCAGGAGAAGTAAATACTTCAGTGTGCTGGCTGATACAGAAATTAAAAGAACATCATAGACAAAGAGAAGAATCAAATAATACTCTAACAGAATTACAGTCCAGTTATGATGAATTATTACTCAAATATGCAGAAGCACGAAATATAATTGATCAATTAAAACTTAACAGAACTTTGGTTTCTAGTGAAAATGAAAAACTTTGTACATCTCAAGTATGCGTTGCCGATCTAAGTACTCAAAACGAGTGTAGCAATCTCAGTAAAAGTGGTCATTTTGTGTCTACAGATAAAGTATTTGTCTCCTGTCCTGATCTGCACGCATTGAAAAATGGTTTTGATAAAAACTCTGACCTTGAACTTTATTCACAATGTTTTAATTTTAATTTGTCAAATAATGAACTGTACAGGCATGATGAAAACAAATTATTAACCTTGAATAAGTCTGAGAGCAGTCACTTAGTTAATGGGGATAAGTGGGATCTGTTATTTGGAAACAAGGTTGGATCAAAATATTCCAGTGATGAACTATTTGAAGAAGAAAGGTATAACCAGCACGTAAGTGAAACTGATGATGAAACAGTTAATTCAAAAGTCATGGAAAACGATCATATACATCAGTTATCACTGATACAAGATTTGAAAGATTTGATTCAGTCTCTTGAAACGTCTCCATCATCTCCCACAAAGGAAAACTTTCTAGAACCACAGTATGTTAAAGACGAAACCGTAGAATGCACAAGGAGTGATGTGCAAGGTAAAAAAAAAAGATATATTTATGATTTTATAATTATATAAGAAAACGTCAAGCTTACAAAGCACGGTTTAATTATTCATGCAGATCATTGATCGAGCATCAAGTAGTTCAAAACCATGAAAAGGCTAAAAAACTTTTTCATGATATCACATTTTTATTCATTTATTATTTGTAAAGTAAAACTTTAATAATCATAATTGTGAACACGTATCGCTGATGAAATGTGGAAAATTTTTGAAAATGAATTCTTAAATATTCAAAGTAGGCATGTTACTTATGAAAAAAAAAAAGGTTGGCTGCAAGTTAAAAACCAGGTTGACTCACAAAGGATATAATGAATACAATTAAAGTTATAATATTATAAATCTAACAAGTTTAAATTGACTACAATGATAGGAGATTTGGAGGATTATAGAAGATCAAGAGAAGTGGTGAAATGGGAAATGAGGAAATCAAAAAAATATTTTAGAAAAATAATTGTCTGAAATTCTAAAAATTAACAATAATAATAATTTCTTTAAGTACATTAAAGGTGAGAGAAATGCTAGGATGGGAGTAGAGTTTTTGAGGGATGATACAGGAAGCTAATATCTGATGATTATGGGATGGTTGGGTTATTAAATTGTAATTTTTCTTCAGTTTTTACTAATGAAGATTTAAGTAGTATTCTTCATCCTGAACCATTGCTATATGGAAACAAGATGATTACATTGATTCTGAGCTTGTTAAGAAAAAATTCAGAAGCATAAGGAATGATAAAGCTCTTAGACTACATGATATTTACCCAAGGGTTTGAAGGAAACTAAAGATTGGATACAGAGTTGTAGGAAGGAGTTACAAAACGGGGGCTTGTTAAGAAAAAATTCAGAAGCGTACGGAATGATAAAGCTCTTAGACCAGATGATATTTACCCAAGGGTTTGAAGGAAATTAAGGATTGGATACAGAGTTGTAGGAAGGAGTTGCAAACCCGGGGGCTTGTTAAGAAAAAATTCAGAAGCGTAAGGAATGATAAAGCTCTTAGACCAGATGATATTTACCCAAGGGTTTGAAGGAAATTAAAGATTGGATACAGAGTTGTAGGAAGGAGTTACAAACCCGGGGGGTTCTTAGCTAGACGTAGATTTTACAATGAGAGATTGAAAGTGTAAGAAATGCTAAAAGCAGCTCATTGTAACGTCGAAACATGTAGAGTCATCAACTTTTTGAAGGCCATAGATAGGCCTAATAAAATTGTGTACCAGTTTAACGTTGAATATTATTTATGATTTTAACTTTATACACAAGTGCCTAAATACTATAAGGATATTAGGTTGTATATACTGGAATATTAATTACAAGTCTAGATAGGTTATAATGTCATTGGATAGGCAACATTTACAGTACTGTATTCAGTTACGGTCTCCTTACTTTAGAAAGGACATTTAATTATTGGAAAAGGTTCAGAGGAGGACTACTAGGATGGTACCTGGGATATAAAGGTTGTCATACAAGAATAGCTTAAGATTTCTGAAATTATTTTCTCTTGAAAAAAAAAAAGAGTTAGAGTTAGAACTTCTTAAGTTGTTGGGGGGATTTGTGTAGTGTTCATGTATCATCTTCTTTCATACTGAATAATGAGACTAGGGAACACATAAATTATATTAAGGTAACAGTCATCTACAATTAAGACAGTTTTATATCTCTAACAGGGTGGTTGGCCTTTGGAATGGGTAGCTTTCAGATGTGGTAGATGTATTTAATTTAAGGGAGCATAAGGAAAGGCTTATAAATATTTGAATGACAAGGGCTGACCTTAGGTGTTTTATTGTTATTTTAGGGTTTAGTATAGTAGATTGGATGGCCTAGATATGTCAACAAGCTCCTTATTGTCCTTACATTATATGTATATAATATGTATAAGAAAGTATTTCCACCAAATCACAAACCTACGTGATGGATCTATACTACAATGTAGTATAAAGAGCAAAGTTTTATATATTAATAAAACTATAATCTTTACAGATCTTGCACTTGTGTATAATACCATTAATATTGGCTTGTGAGAATGAACAGTGCTTCACTATTATCTTGAAAATATATAGTCTTGAATTAAAAAAAAGTCCTTTTCTGGAGAGGTGTGCTGATTACTGATTAATCAGTGCCGGTTACTAATTAATTTAACGATACTGGTCATAGGTAACTTAGTAATCTTTGTCATTAGGATATTTGTGTCTCCACTTGCCAATAAAAATTTCATAACTATGCATAAATTTTGTGCAGTTTATTTATTTTTATCCATTCTAGTGCAGACTTGTGGACTAATATTTATGTGGTGAGTTGATTGATGAAGTACAATTGGTGTGTGTGTATTTTTTATACTTTTATATTCCATATAAATAGTATTATGTTGTCTTATTGGGCCAATGAATATTTAAAAGAAAAATAACTTTTACTTGTGTGATCAATATGTAACAGTGAGAATTGTAATATAAACTTATTTCCTGTTTCTTGAATTGTACACTTTGTTTATAACTTTAATGTTTAGTACTTTTGTCAGCAAAACTATATAGAAAAACATTTTTTTTTATTTATCCATTCCTGTGATTATCATCTATTAATCAATATTGTAGCCAGTTAGGACAATTAATCGTAGAATTATTGATGGATGAAGAGATATAATTTTTCTAAACGGTGTACACACCAAATTACTTGTGGATTCATGATTTAGCTGGTTAGAGGGTTACTAATAAACATGACTCACAAAAAACAAAAATATCATCAATATTGTAGCCAGTTAGGCCAATTAATCGTAGAATTATTGATGGATGAAGAGATATAATTTTTCTAAACTGTGTACACACCAAATTACTTGTGGATTCATGATTTAGGTGGTTAGAGGGTTACTAATAAACATGACTCACAAAAATATCATCAATATTGCAATTAATCATACTAATTATTGCTGGATTCTCCAAGGCATGGAAAATGTGTTTTATAACTGGCAAAAATCATAAAACTACACAATTTAATGCAACATGTGAACTCCCACTGGCAGTGAATGGTATAAAAAATAGGTGGTAATTTGAGTGTTAATTTCCACCCTCTACTTTTAAGGATCCAAAAGTACAGAAAGTGTTCCAAAAAATCAAAAACATGTAATTTTTTTTATAAAAGTGCTTCACGCAGTCACTTACACCACGATAAAGATATTAGGCAACTATTTCACAAAATATAAAAAGAATTTGTGGACCATTCAAATATTTGTAGATAGAAATTCAATAAATAATAATAAAACTTTGGATTCAAACCCTTTTTCATGCTCTTCTCTTCATAACTCTTCTTAAAAACAAAAATACATTCTGTTTAATTTTTTGCACTCTTTCTTCCAAAATTTTGTCACAAAGTAATAATTTCTCATAAGAGGCCGAGGTATAAAAACACTGTAACCAAGTTCTATTTTATTAAAATCATCACTTTGTATAATCCTTATTCACCCCGTTCACAGAGTTCAAAATAATGGTCAGTAAGAACATTTAAGTTAATTTCTTATAACCTTAACACTGATAACATTCATTCCCATGTTGGTGTTATGTGTTACTTCTATAAATAAAGTTATTGTTTGTTAAGAAACTAAACATTTTAGGTGTTTTGATATCAGTGGAGAACTTGTTTTTTTTGTGTTTATATTTTATTGTTTTCCTCAAGAATTTCTCAGCTAATGATTATTTTCTCATCAACTTATACTTTTAAAGCATGTTACTGAGTATTTGTCAAACAAGACTTGCCTCTGTCTCAAATAAGAAGGAGTTTGAACTTTATATGTGTCTCTTAATTTACTAGAACTGGCCCTGATCATTAGTTTATTTCTTTTTTTATAAGTCTTAAAGGAGCTCAAGAACATAACACTACATTAGTGAAAACAAGTAGGCTTATTATAAACTAATATTAGGTATGTTTGTGAACTTAATGCTTTGTTGCTTTCTTGTTTGTTTTTTTCCAACACAATTTCTCACAGGAGAATTTGAAAACGAGTCCAAATTAACCCTTCATTTTTTTATATTTCTTATCATCACCAAATTTTGGTTATAAATAAACACTCTAGAAAATTTTATAAAGCCAGGAAATCAATTATGATAATGTTTTTTGGTGTAAGGAAATGTAACTAATTAAATGCACCTTTAATATGAAAATAAATTCATATTTTGCATATAATTTGCTATTTTCAGTATAATTCTTGAAATATGCGTTGGTTCTTAATGACATAAGTATGTTATTTATTAATAAGTTATTAACTCTTGCCATGAATTTAACATCTATTGATGCTTTATGAGGATATTTTGTATAGTTGTAGCTATCACATAATAAACTTAATATTTGTTAAAGAAAGGTTCGTAAGATAATACTGTTACGACAGCGGAAGTCATGCGACACTGGGAGCATGCATGCTGAAGTTTCTAAAAGGATCATGAATTTTCCTGGAAACTCTAGTTTGTTCCAGGCATCCTCTTTTTTAGTATATAAGCCTGGCAAATAAAGCCGGCAAAAAAGATAGAATTGCAGAGATAGGCAGATAGATTGAAGATAGAGATAATTGAGTCAAGCGAACAGTAGGCATCGTAAGTAAAGTGTGTGAATCACTGTGATTTATAGCGTGTGTTATAAAGGTTGTTAAGTTTAAAGTGACTGTGGAATTTTGTGTATTACAAAGTTTGTAACAAAGAATAAACTAGTTTTAATTAAGAAAGGACTTGTATCGCTGAAGTTCGTAGAAAAAATTTTATACCGGAAATTAACAAACGACCAGATATGTAACAATACCTCAGAATAAAAAGATGGAATGTAACAGCTTTTTACATTGTCTGTAACGTTGAAGAATTTTGTGTGAAAATTTTAAATTTTTGTGCTAACAGATATAGTGAGTAAAATTATGAAGAATATTTTAGACCTTTGGCCATCTTAGATACAGAACGATATATAAAAATTCAAGGTACATAAGGTGATAAAAGAAACATTTGAACTGCCGAGTTCAACAGTCAACCTGAACAGACACACACTCGCATCCTCTCATCTCTGTCAAAAAAATAAAATAAGTCCTAACTGAGAAAATCTTTAAATAACCATAATTTAATAGGAAAAATATGCTTCAGCACAGAACGTTATTAAAAGCTTCATAACTTGACGTAGCCGTGTTGCCTAACAAATATATTTGTAGTTTATGATCACTAAAACTGGTATTCGTGTCTCTAGTTCAAACCTGATTAAATGAAAACTCAAAAATAAACTAGCTTATCCAAAAGCCTTTGGACACGTTAATCTCATAATACTATTATCATTCTTCCTCCAAGCACGATTAAGTTTTCTTGTTTAGATGTTTTATTTTTTTATGGTTTAAGGTATCTATTTAAAAAGCGTAAACATTCTTGTAACCGAACTCTGTGCATTTTTCAACACTACATATTTCCTCCAGCTTATTAAAGTTATTCTTTGAAATGTGTTTAAGTTGTGACAATGTATTATGTAAAGTAGTTCTCTGAATATTAGGCTTAATTATGTGATAAGCCAAATATATCCATGTGTTTGTATCTTTTAGAAACATCACTAGAAAACCATCATAGTAAAAGTACGTACAGTGGAGAAACACAGTGGAATAATGCTCAGATTAAACAGAAGAAGAAGGTTTGCAGTTGCACGTGTGTAAATGATCGTCAAGACAGTTTGATGGTAAGATATGTACCATTGTTATATACTGAATGGGATTATTGTGGTAGCAAATGACAGTTGTTTATTAAACTGCATAAAATGAAGCTAGAATGTGCTATGCATACTTAAACAACGTAGTCATAATTTCATAGAAGAGATATCAGATGTTTGTCTTTATGTGTTTCAATATAGTGTCTAGTCTGCACACACACACACACATTCATGTACAATGTGTTTGTTGTTGATTTATTCACACACGTTCATGTACAATGTGTTTGTTGTTGATTTCTTCACACACACTCACATACAATGTGTTTGTTGTTGATTTCTTCACACACACACTCACGTACAATGTGTTTGTTGTTGATTTCTTCACACACACACTCACGTACAATGTGTTTGTTGTTGATTTCTTCGCACACATTCACGTACAATGTGCTTGTTGTTGATTTATTCACACACACTTACGTACAATGTGTTTGTTGTTGATTTCTTCACACACACTCATGTACAATGTGTTTGTTGTTGATTTCTTTTCACAAACGTTCATGTACAATGTGTTTGTTGTTGATTTCTTCACACACTCATGTACAATGTGCTTGTTGTTGATTTATTCACACACACTTACGTACAATGTGTTTGTTGTTGATTTATTCACACACATTCACGTACAATGTGTTTGTTGTTGATTTCTTCACACACATTCACGTACAATGTGCTTGTTGTTGATTTCTTCACACACACACTCACGTACAATGTGCTTGTTGTTGATTTATTCACACACATTCACGTACAATGTGTTTGTTGTTGATTTCTTCACACACACACTCACGTACAATGTGTTTGTTGTTGATTTCTTCACACACATTCACGTACAATGTGCTTGTTGTTGATTTATTCACACACACTTACGTACAATGTGTTTGTTGTTGATTTATTCACACACATTCACGTACAATGTGTTTGTTGTTGATTTCTTCACACACATTCACGTACAATGTGTTTGTTGTTGATTTCTTCACACACATTCATTTACAATGTGTTTGTTATTGATTTCTTCACACACATTCACGTACAATGTGTTTGTTGTTGATTTCTTCTTTCCAGAGAGATAGTTAAAGTATTATCAACATGTGACATCCATGCTTAGCTGTGACATATAAATATTTTACTGGGAAGATATAAAGAAAAGAAGCAATGGGAGTAAATCAAGTGTCCATATAATACTGTACACGTTTTACCATGAGTTAGCTATATTAACTTATAATGTAGTATTGTAAAACACATATATATGTCATTTGACCACTATACATAGATTCTGTCTTGTGTTATTCATAATGTTTAAATAAACAGCCCTTGGATATACAAAGTCTTTATTGTGTTTAGCTATTTGAGACTAATGATAATGTCCTAATGCTTTGTGCATTTAGGGATCATTACACTATTCAAATATTTTATAGCATGTCAGTCAACATTAATGTTGGGTTACAGTAATCTGATCTATTCAGACTCATGACACTATTATAGCTACAAAACTTGTTCATTGTTAAGTTTGAATAATGCTCCAATCCTTTAAGCTTTTAATTCAGTAGATATTTAAAAAATTTTCATATTTGAGGTATAATTCTAATTAAATACCTAGATTCAGGTTGCTAAAAGCTAAGGTTAGATTATAATCATTTATTCCATCCAAATGTGTTTTAATCAAATGTGCTTGTGGATATAGATGTTGACCATTAAAAAATCCAACCCAAGAAAGTCATATTTCATTAATTGTAAAAAAATAAGGATTTTTAATATTTATATAATTAAACAAATTTGTACTTATAGCCACAGCTGAGTGGCTCATAGAATGGCTCTGAGGTTTTTGGTTTATTTTTAAGTACAAACATTAGCTCATAGCTCTTTCATCTCTTGACCGATTTGAGATCTAATTTCAGTTTTGGACTCGAGAGGTCAAACCTTTTCGAGTGATGTATTTGACCATGCCCAAGGTCTCGTAGATTAATTTATTCTAATCCTGCCTGAAAGAATAATGACTATAATTTATTATGTATGTCTACACAAGATACATTAAGCTTTGTACACAGAAAATCAGATGAGTTACAAAGGTATTTGTACTCAAGATATAATTATGAATTGATAACGTCACATTCTGACAAGATGTAGTGCAAAGTGAAGCATAAAGACAGTTTTGTCCATCACACCACATGCATAACCTCTAGAACCTCTGAAAATGCATATCTACAGTTTTTTCAGGATCTTTTTATATCGTATCTGGTGTGTATTGTATTCTGGTATGAGCCGTGGCTAAATCAACAGTGTAGGGTAAAATGAATAGTTCATAACTCTGATATCAAATACATAATACAGTGTTGAATAGCGCTCTGTAAAAGGACATGACTTACGCCCTTTACCCCCCACCCGTGTACGTAGGGTTAATGTATTAGATATTAATAAGTCGACAGGTGTTCTAGCTTCAAGTCTGTGTGATTTATATGACAATTGCTTAGTTATGGAATATTATCCTGATGTTTTGAAGCTAGCTAAAGTAATTCTTGTATCTAAATCAAATATATTATATCCAATTATAGGCCTATCTATGTATTACTACCTTTTTGGAAAGTTAACTTATACTAAACTGGAATCTTTTTTAAACAGTTAATGCTATTATAAATTCATATCAGTTTGTTTTTCATACAAATCACTGTACTATTCTTGCAGTGTAAGAGATTTATGATAAATTACTAGAATGTTTGATTCTTGTAAGGTGACCTGTATCACTATGGTATAAGAAGTGTAGATTTGGATATTTTTAAAAGTTATATAACTAACAAAAAACAAAATAAGTGATGTTCAAATCCATTGTACACGACTTCCTGCTTCCGATGACTTTGATCTACTGAGATGTCTTGCTTTAGGTCAAATGTCAGGTCAGTTAAATTTGAAAGAGTGTTAAATTATGGTCTGAGCTAACTAGTAATTTAAAAGCACTTATTTTTGTCAACTTAGAAAGGCTTTCTGGATCTTACTTGTTAAAGTTTATGAAGGAATAATATGGTAATATTTATTCATTAAATTATTTCTATGTCTCGTGTATATGTGACGTTCAAGTTCTGATAGAGTTCAGTTAAAACTAATCATCGTAAAGGTGATTCACTAGATGATCAGTTGGTCTTTTCACCATCCTGTATTTAAAATAATTAATACATTCATTTGTAACTTCCATATAAATGCAAATCAAATTATTGAATTCAACTTCATATCATTGTATAAGCGGACTTAACAATAACAAAAATGTATATTCTTGTCCATAATCAAAAGTAAAAACAAACATTTTTGAGAACCAAGTATTTAAAAGCTCTTGATTTTACATTACTCACACCCACTGTGTTGCGTTATGGAAGTTTGATGAAAAGAAAAATGAATAAAAAACAGTCAAGCGCTTCAAACTGAAAGTA